CCCCCCCCAGCCCCCAATCACCTCCCCATCCATCCATCCAACCAGCACATCTCCTTCCCCTCCTTCTCTCTTCCCTCCCCCCCGCTCACCGAGAACAAAATCCCATCCTTCCCTCCACCCTAACCCTAACCACCTATTTATTCCCTTACTCCTTACTCCTCACTCCTCCTCACAAACCCGAAAATACAAGCACATCCATACATAACTCAGCAAAGTAAGCAACCTCAACTTTCACTCACCAACTCACAACCTCAGATCCGATTCTGCCCGGGTTCGGCTCAGAAAAATTACTTACATGTAAGACCTACTCGTACGGTAGTTGGCGTACTCAAGTAGAGTAATCATCGAAACGAATCCAGAAGGCTCGGGAGATACATAAAGCGAGACCCGAGAGGCGAGGGGCTTCTATTCACTGTTTCCTGTTATGTACTTGAGTACAGAGGAAGCTTAGATAAGGAATTTTTCAATTCCATGCCATTCAATGCAGAGCAGAGCAGAGTAGAGCAAAGTACCAACCACAAAAACCATCGACACATCAGAGTATCAAAAAGCATCAAAAAGATTCCAAAAAAAGCAAGAAACAAAAGAGAGAGAGAGGTGTATTGTACATCTAATAGTCTAATGCCCTCTGATCTAATCTAGCCCATCGCAGCATACTCGTAGCGTAGCAGCAGATCTCGAGCAAAAGCAAAAGCAAAGAGAAAAAAAGAAAAAAGATCTTCTAATACACCCGTCTATGGTCAAGGCGCATCCATCCATCCTCTATGTTTTTCTCGTCTCATCCCCCCACCCCCTCTACAACATACAAGTATCCCCCCCTTATATTAGAACAACCTCCCCTCCCTTTCCCAAGATTCCCTTCTCCCCCATATGTTTGTCCCATCCCATCCAGACCACGAAGATCGAAACCAATTCAAATCCCAAATCCCTCCATCAACGAACCAAAGGAAAAAGGTGTGAGAAAATTTCAAGAAGAGGAATCGAACGAAGTGGTGATGCAATCCAGGTAAACTCGGTGGAAGAAAAGAGAAGAAAAAAGAGAAAAACGGAATGTTGCAAAATAAAAAGGGAAGAATATGTAATTTTTTCTTTCGCCCACACCCCAATGCAATTCCGTAATATTTACAGAAAGAGGAAGAGTGAAAGTTTGAAGCTAATTTACACGTACTTGCACATCATGGCAACCATCAAGTCGAAGAGTCCAATAGCCTCAACGAAAGCGAATCCCAAAATGGCGTAGGAGAAGAGTTGTGCACGCATGCTTGGGTTACGGGCAACGGCCATGAGGAGAGCGGCGAAGACCATACCAATACCGATACCAGCACCTCCAAGACCGATGGCGGCGGAGCCCATACCGAGGTTTTGAGAGACTTGGACCATGGCGGTGGCGATCTCGGAGGAGAAACCACGCTTGGAAGCTTGAGCGAAGGTGTTACGGGTAGCGTGGGAGAGGATTTGGGAAGCTTGGGCACGCTTCATGGCGGAGAATGGGGTGGCCTTGGAAGCGACACCTGGAGAAAAGGCAAGTCAGTTTTGGTTCCATTGAAGGGTTGCTGATGCCATTGATGAATTGATGCTCCAATTGATGACTTTGATTCAATGGATCCACAGTTGCCGATCCCATTGACCTCGAGATGCCAGTTGGCAAGATCACGAGTCGAATTGAAAAATTGAAAGATGTGATATGAAGTTACGTGAGACTGATAAGGGTGTACGAACCAGAGAAAGCACGCTGGGAACCAGTGGCCTTGATGCTGCTGCGGACCATAGGACGAGCAACCTTTGCGGAGGTAGAGCTCAAGAGGGATGCCATCTTTGGCGCGATCATGCGTGAAGCAGCCATTGTGTATGTGTGTTTGATGGTGGAGAGGAGATGGGGTCGATTGGACTGTTTCTGAGATGGAAAACAGAGCAGGAGGCAGAAGGATGATGGTTTGGGTCTGGTTTGAGTATTATCTGAGAGAGAGAGGTTGGGAGGAAAGAGGTGGATGAGACGGGGAAGAAAATTTTTCGCTAGGGAGGTCCTGTCCTCAGGACAACAAAGCTGGGACCAATTGACTCCAGGGGACCCACCAGCTGCTCGCTACGGGCTCGGCTATTAGCTAAAGCGGACGCTCTTATCACACTGCGATCTGAGGGAACAGCTTATTGCCTCTTTGGGACTAATCTGGGGGTATGAGAGCTTTCTGCCGCGCGCTTGAAGCTTAAAAGGTCACTTCTCCATGACCTCTAGTGGGTGTAGCGAAGGTGAAGGTGGACCTGAATGGCATCAACGACAACACCGTCCCCAACAGAAGTGGTCCGGTCGGGTGTAGTCGGACATTGCAAATGCTCGGTATTCTTCAAGGGTGAGATATAAATCTGGGGCAGAATGACTGGCTGAGAATGCTCAATGGCGGCGTGGACTCGTCGAGGTGGCAAAGGAGCTGTCAACTGACTTTTTCGTTGGAGAGCTTTTACCGCATAGACTTTGTAAAACTCGCACGCGCAGAAAACAACAGCAAACTTCAAAGCTTCCCATGGGATGGAGGGTCAAGGAACCTAGCAGATATTGTCAGTTTGCGTAACCATAAGCCGGAAACCGGGAAATGAGCAAACATCAAGACACCGTCTCTGCATTCATTGGGCTGAGGGCTATCTCCAATCCACAATCACTATCAACGAACCCCCAACCCCCGCGCTCCATCTGTCAAGGCGTTCTAAAGTGGAACATCGAGAAATCGAGGAATCAAAAGCAAAAGCAATGGCAATGGCATCAACTCAAAAATCAAATATCGCGACTCGAGAGACGTGGCCAACTATTCACGTCCTCTCAGCTCGATGAGCACACACGATGTGTGGAGGCATGTCGTTCATGACAGGTGTCACTCCAAGTCAGCCTCAATGCTGCACAAACCAACACCAGCCAGCCCGTTACGCTAAACCCAAAGAGGTAATCGCCAAGATACCACCGCGAAGGAACCGACTCCGATCTGTCCCGATGCCTGCCCCCTGTGCATTTCAGCAGTGGAAAAGCAAAAAACGTCAGAGCCGAAAATCCTCGTGCCCATATTTTCATGCTTTGTGGATATCATCATTTTTGCATAAATTCAGCTGGTGTCCCATCGAATGTTGGACGCGAGATTTCACTCTCTTTTTACTTCGAAATGGCATTGTGTCGCTCGCTTAGCTTCTGGCCTCCCAATTCCAACCGATCGTCATCCACAGCCATGGAATCTTGAAAGGTTCCCGAACAAAAAAAGATATCTGCGGTTTTCATAAATGGCACCCATATCACCGCCTTCGGAGCATTCGCCGCGGTAGCCTAGAAGTGTAAAGGAGAGAGCGAGAGAGAGCCCAGCTAAAATTATTTATTTTGGCTACCAATCCTCAGGAATCTCAACGAATCACAGGACATGTCGCTTCACGTCGTCCTGCAAGCAATGAAGAAACACGGCATGGCATGGCAGCACCGCAACAAGCATTTTCCTGGGGCCCGGGACTCCGATAGTAATTCCAATCTGGACTTTTGGGCGGTCCGGATCGATTCGCTGCACGTGGTTGGTTGGCTGCACATCGTCCATTTCCCGAAATGAATCTCAGACATGTGGAAGTGTGTTGTGCCGTCCGGTTCCTTGCTCCGGTTGTGGTGCTGAAAATGCTCGTCATTGATTTTTCATTATTCTCGACCTCGGACTTGGAATCATGCAGGTACCGTGATACTGTGATACCTTTGTTGGACTGTACTTTACAGTGAGTTTGTAGTTGTCTATCCAAGGGATAAGATAAACCTAAAACCAACTCTCTTCAAAAACCTCACGACCCTTCCCTTCCTATCGACTTCTACCAATCATCACCTGTAAAACTCCTCTTCAAAATCTCTCAAGAATAAGTAAATCCACACCGCTTACAAAGCGTAGTCTCCAAACAACCCCAAACCAACACTCAAAAACTCAACACCATCCTAACCACAACCCCCCATCCCCCGCTGCCTCAAATCCTCAAATCTTCAAGCGTTGTGTTAAAAATCCGTGGAAGGCATCAGACATTTACGGTCCATAGGTTAGCTTAACCTTCAGACACCTTGATGTCCTCTCCTAGGAGTGTAGAACATATCATATCTAGAGGGTGTATATATCAGAAATAAGCATTTTACAAACGCAGTGGACCATCAATAGATACTATACCCATCACCATTCCTGATATATCTTCCAGTACATGGGCACCATACATTATCAGAGTTTATACCATGACTCTGACTCTGACTCCTAGGTAGTGTACTTTACTTTACTTTACTTCCCTCTACCATCCTGTCGCCTAATCACTCTCGGCCCCCCTTAAACAAAAGGTTAAACCCAAATCCAAATCCAAATCCAAATCCTAGAGCCCATCCCATCCCATCTACCGCTGTATACTTCGTATATCGAAACACGTGGAAAGTAAATATAAGCACACAACTCCCCTTGGACAAAGTCTAGATAACCCCAAAAATGGTCCTACAGTAAATTTACCTAGCACCAGGTAACCTACCTAAACGATACATAAGCGATATAAGGTATTAAGGTATATACAACCAAACAAGGACAGAGAAAAGAGGATATCTATCAATCACTCATTCATAATATCATCTCTATCATCTTATCTCTCGCTCGCTCCATCAACCAGCCAACCATTCAACCACCCAATCAACTACTCAATCACGCATTACATAAACACACACACCTCACCTCACCTCAACTTTCTCGGAATCTCAGAAAGAACCCCGCAATCCACAACCCGCAACCCGCAACCCGCATTCCCAATGCCTCGCCCAATCAAAAAGAAGAAGCCCAAAAGTAAGCCCATCCTTCATAAACATATATACTACACGCAAACCATGCCACACACGCACGAATCAACCAACAAGCAAAGCCAACCCCAGCACAATCATCATACAGAATCATCCGTCCCCACACTCTCATACGCCGCACCCCCCCTCGACCGCATCGTCATCAGCCGAGGCGTCTCATACATCGCCGTATAATCCACTACCTGTCCCGCCAACAACGCGGTCCCATTCTCCCTCTGGCCAAACATCGGCGCAGGATCACACCAGAAATCTTTGCAATTCCCCATACACCCGTTCGAGAAGGGATTGCGATTACGTCTCCTCTTCGTCTTGTCCCCTAGAGCGGTTTCCACAAAAGTGTCAACGCCGAGGATCTTCTTCCACTGCTTGAAACAGCCTTCTTTGTGATGGTGTCCTGGCCCATTGGCGTGGGTTGATGGGAGAGCCGGGTCAGGTCCCATGCCTGTGTCACCGATTTGGGCGCCCGATCGGGAGGTTGTGCCGGTTGTGAGGGCTGAGGTGATCGCTGCTGATGCTTTGCTTCCGTGAGCGTGGGAGGAGCCTCGCATGTTCTCCCAGGTTGTCATGGCTCGTGAAATTTGGACTAGTTGGACGAACATCAACATGGTGACCCACGTTAATTGTAGTGCCGCCCATATACACAGTACAAGTGTATATGGGTCTGCATTCACGACTTGACATAACTCTGGAGAGAGTATGTTGCATTCCTTATCCCCGTTGGTTTTATCGGTAACAAATGTGAAGTCTGAGGGACCATTAGCGTCATCTTTAAGCATCCTGTCATAGAGAAACTTACAGCCAAGTGCTAACCTCACGAGGAAAATAACACCAATCTCCAAAGTGAGCAAGTAGAGGAAGAAATGGCGATGGTTGTTGATACCAATGCAGTTGTAAACCCAAGGACAATGGCTAAAAATAATCAGCACGTTTTACACAAGAACATATAACGTCAAGCTTACTGATCATGCTTGGCAACACATCGGCGACATCTCTTGCAATGTTTGCTTCTTAATGGTTGTCGAGCCATGCATGGGACGCAGAAGTTCTGCTCATTGAATTTCCACAAGCTCAAGAGTTCGTCAATTACAGCCTTTTGAGGACCTAAACCACCGAGTTTTGGAACAAACCCAGGTTCGTAAACCATTGTACAGAAGTAAAAGTATCCACATAATGTATAGGAAGTCAAAAACATGAGATTGCTTATGGGATACGTCGAGTAAGTTGCTAAAACTGTTAATTGTACATCTCGGTAGCAGTAAAGGATATATTACCTGGAAGAATAGTCGTCAACCATCTCAACCCTACCCAAAACAGGGTCCCCGCGAATATACCAGCCAACCAAGGCTACTAAATTAGCAATGTGACCAAGAAGTTGGGCGGACCAAGCTTACAGTTTTGTGCATATGTCTCATATCAGTCGGCGCATATTCCATCACCTTCTGTGCAACCCATTGTAATGAATAGCCCGCAAAAAGAGCAATTGGAACGCCGGCAAACACCACCATATGACTTGCAATCATAATCATAACAAACATGATTAAAAAGGGGAATAAGAAGAAGAATTTTGCCATAAAAGCCCGCTTGTCCTTCATCAAGAACGAACTTCCGGGGAAATCGAGTGTTCTGGGCATCGCATCATCGTTATAACCGCATTCAATCAAGGCTCGGTGCCATATCCTCTCTGTCTTCATTTCCTCCGCTGTAATTGCTGGAGTTTTTCCATTCGAGGTCTCGGCAAATCGATCCGCTCCATATTCGATTAATTTTTGTATACAGCCTTGGGATCCCTTTACGAGAGCCCAATGTAAGGCAGTAAACCCAGTCTCATCTACTGCATGTACATCTGCCCCCCATCTCAAAAACAGATCCACGCAGGCAGGATATCCTTTGTATGCAGCCCACATGAGACTGGTATGTCCATGGCTATCTGGAATATCAACGGAGATGTTTTGGTGGAGTAGCAGTACCAGAAGGAAGATGTTTCCCTCGAAAGTGGCTAGATGGAGAATATTATAGCCTTGAGCATCTGTAATCAGAGGATCCGCGCCGTGTTCAAGTAGGAGGTGGACAGTATAGTAATGGCAACGTTGCGCAGCCCACATGGCAGGCGTAGCGACCGAACTTCCCCCCCTTTTATTGACATTGGCTCCCTCCTTCAGAAGGAATTGGCACATGGCATACTGGTTATTGATGGCCGCCCACTAAACGAATATCAGCATGGAGTTTCGGGAGAACAAAAATCCACGTACATGCAAGGGCGTTATCCCTTCCTCATCGCAATGTGTGGCGTCGAACTTGCCGTCCTGAAATAGCTTCTCCATCGCCGGAACATCTCCAAGGCGTGCCAACTGCATTATATCCTCCTCGACACTGACAGGACCGTCGGCAATAATATCGTCCATCTCGACATGGTCGTCGTCGCTCAACTTCGGTGGAACAGCCGAAGCCTTTCCATTAGCCATGGCTTTTGTAAGGGGGGCCCCCTTGGTCGCAATTATCGAAGTCGCAGGTCTCTCTTCACCAGCCATTGAGGGTTCTCGGTCGCAATATCACCGATGCAAAGTTCGTAGCAGGTGCGAGGATGACGATGGTGCGGGTGATGTATTATGTATGAATGGGAGTGGAAGTCATCTCTCCCAGTGACGATTGGCCGTTTTCTCTGTTGTGAAGAAGTGAATCCGCAGATTACTGATGCTTATCAGCACTCCAAGTACGAGTAGCTACTAGTTTGGGGGAGGATTTGTTGGTTACACTTCATCAGCGAGGCTGAGCTGCCGGCTTTACCGCGGAATAGGCAGAAAGTGGACGCTGTACGCCCGCTCGGCCCCGCTGTACAGCCGTAGTGGCAGTGACAGGGTTTATACCGGATATTCTAAAAGTATCCGAAGCCTTGCAGGGCGTTACGATCCTTTGTGCTCAACACCAACGCTGTCAAGATATTTCGAGAGATTTCGAGGCACCATGTCGACGCTCACCGAATGGCTGCAGGCTCTGATGAGCCCATCGCCTACAGCTTTGGCGATCGCGCTGCTCCTTGCGCTCACGATACCCATTTTCCTGCACTCATTTGTCTTTCGAGCAAGTGGCCTCACAACTCTCCCCTCCATCCTGCTCATAGGTCCAAGTGGCTCAGGGAAGACCTCCCTTCTAACATTGGTAAGAACCTTTAGTTCAAATACAAATTACAAAATACAAAAAATAACAAGCATAAATACTAATCCATCACAGTTCGAGCGCCGCACCCAACCAGCCCAAACCCACACCTCCCAATCCCCCATATCGGTCGAATGCGACCTCCCCGTCGGCACCACCGCCAACTCAGACAAATACCGCTCAGTCAACGACCCCACCAACCTCGTTCACAAAAGGTTCCTCCTCATCGACACCCCAGGGCACGGCAAACTACGGCACCACGCCCTCGACACACTCACCAACCCCCAAAACCTGCGCGGGATAATCTTCCTCGTCGACTCCGCGACGCTCTCCGCCAGCGACGAAGGCCTGCGACAAACAGCCGACTACCTCCACGACGTGCTCCTCACCCTACAAAAACGCACAGAGAGTTCAAGCAAAGCCGCAAAGAACCTGAAAGAGATTCCGCTGCTGATCGCGGCGAACAAGATGGATTTGTTTACTGCGCTCCCGGCGGCGTTGGTGAAGAGTAGTTTGGAGGCCGAGATCAGCAAGGTGCGGGTGTCGAGGAGTAAGGGCTTGTTGGACTCGGGGATTGGGATGGAGGATGAGGAGAAGGATGAGTGGCTGGGCGAGGTGGGGAGTAAGGAGTTCAAGTTTACGCAGATGGAGGAGTTTGATGTGTTGATTGAGGTTGTGGGTGGGAATGTTTCGGGGGGTGAGGGACCGGTTACTGAGAAGTGGTGGAAGTGGATTTCGGAGAGGCTGTGATTGTTTTTGGGAAGGTATGATAATGATATTTTTCTAATATGATATGATTTATGAAGGATAGTTAATACCGCCTTGTACAAATAATCCTGCTTCATACCCAGACTTGCGCATTTTCTCGAGGGACTCTTTTTCCTACATTTACTGTACCGAATTTTGGATATAATCTTCTAACCATTCAATGCCCATCAATCTCTTTCTCTCAAAACATAAAGCAGTGGGTAGTTTAAGGCTCTCATTCACAAACTGTATTGTGTAGTTGCATTATGACATCATAACCTCCATCAAACCACTCCGTTTCACCAAATAGGTAGGTGAATAAACAATGAACAATCAAATTCACCATACTAATCTAGCCTCTAAACGTTTACCACGCATGGCAATACTCGTAGCTATCCAAATAAAAACTTCAAGTAGCAAGACAAATCAACCTCCATACACAAACGAAACGAATAAACGTATGTTACGGTATGTAGTAAAGGCAATCTATTTACTCCAAACCCGAACAAGACGACTACCTACCAATCTATCCACATCTAAAAACACACATATGCTTGCACAGAATCTAACCCATCTCCCAAATCTACTCCACCTCTTCCCATTCCGGATGTTGAAATCATAGAAATCCCGTCTTCCCGAGAAGAAAAGAAGATAAAAACCAAAGCTCAACATGAACGCCTTACTATCAAAACCCCCCCAACACCCGCAAGTCAAACCAGCCTATGCCGCCCCAAGAATATCATGCTTAGAAAATTCAAACTTTGGTCTGTTTCACCATCCAGCTCAACAGATCAACCTTAGTCACAACCGCAACGGGTTTAGAAAGTCCACCGCTCTCAGCTCCTCCCTTTTCGGTGACGATGGCTGCGCTGTTCCATTCAAAGAATTTGCTGAGGGCACTAATTGGTGTGTCCATAGTGATTTCGACGAATTTTCTCTTGGGGTTTTTTTGTTTGCCATCGGACCCGTCGAATCCGTTGGTCTTGGGGGGTTGGGTGAGGTTGCTGATGTCCTTGGGATCGGTGACGACTTCTGGGATGGAAGAGAAATCGAACATGACTTCCGATACGGGACTCTTTCCAGTAGCACGGCCGCGACTAATCCAGGAGAGGAGGTTTCCTAGTGTGACTAGGCCGACGAGTTTACCACCAGTTGGAGCCAAGACTGGGAGTTGGTCAAATCCCTTCTCCCGCATGGTTTCAACTGCATCGGAACAAGGCGAGTCAGCTAGAACAGTAGTGACTGGCTTCAAACGAAGAGAACGAAGTGTTGCGCCTGAAAATGGGTCCTCTCTCTTCTTTGCAATTGGAGATGCTGGAGAAGATGGCGCAGTGGCCGGAGGTGTTGGAGGGAGAAGGTCATTTGCTGCGAGCCAGTCGTCGTCTGCAAATTTGCTGAGGTAACTTCGAATGCTATCTGGGAGCACCACAACAATAACATCGCCTTTCTTGAATCCCAATTCCTTCACGGCTTTGACCATTGCCGACATGGCACTTCCACTGCTGCCACCTACAAGAAGTCCTTCCTCTGCAATAAGTCGTCTTGCGAACATGAATGATTCGACATCCTCAGTCTTGTACCAGTGGTCGACGGCCGCCTGCTTGAGCACGTCCGGAATGAAATCATAACCAATTCCCTCAACTTTATAACCCTCGTTGGCGCGCTCTTGGTTCAAGCTTTCTGGTAGAGCGAGAATCGAACCAAATGGGTCTGCAGCAATAACCTTGATATCTGGGTTATGCTTCTTGAGACCCTTAGATAATCCAGTTATAGTTCCTCCAGTACCAGCTCCTGCAACTATAGCAGTGATCTTTCCTCCGGTCTGCTTCCAAATCTCCTCGGCCGTTCCAAATTCATGGGCATCTGGGTTGTTTACGTTTGCGTATTGATCTAAGATATGTGAGTTTGGAATTTCCTTCTGCAGACGCTTAGCAACACCAATGTGGGATTCTGGGGAATCGAAAGCGGCTTGTGTGGGAGTTCGAATAATGGTAGCGCCGAGGGCACGAAGTACTGCGACTTTTTCGGGAGACATTTTCTCGGGTAGTGTAATGATGGTCTTGTAACCTTTGATGGCTCCGACAAGCGCAAGACCAATACCACTGGAGAATGTTAGAGGCAGAGAAATATGTATCCTCGAGTGTACTTACGTGTTACCGCTAGTTGGCTCAATGAGAGTGTCTCCTGGCTTTATTCTTCCGGACTTTTCTGCTTCCTCGATCATTCGCAGAGCAATACGATCCTTCACACTACCTCCAGCATTGAACAGCTCAACTTTGGCGTAGACCTCTGCTTCGATTCCCAGACTCTGCGGGATCTTGTTCAATCGAACCAACGGTGTATTTCCAATCAACTCGGTTGCTGAATTGGCAAAAACCGGCGATGCGGCGGGTTTGCTTTCGATAGACATGTTGTCGGTATGATAACTCGATGTGTTATATGGCTCGAGATTACGGTCCTAATGAGAAGGTGTTGTTGCAGAGCGGTTGCAAGTTGCAAGTAGCAAGTTTTTGTGCAAGTCGCAGAAGAATCACCTCATGCAAATCGAATCCCGCTGCCGTTGATACCCGCGTGGCGAGGGGTATTTTTAGTGCACGTGGTGATAAGTGACTATCCGATCCCGAGCCGAGGATTAGGTAAGGTTACAGGTTAACTTACGAGAGATGCGATGCTTTCAATTCATGTGAAATACTTCTAACTTTCCCGTTCTGGTGAAGAAAACTGATGAGAAGAAGAAGTGAGAGAATTTGGTGTCGACTACGAGTGAAGTGCTAAAACTGTCTTCATATAGTCTTCCCGTAGTAGAAGCACTTGGTCTATGATTTCATATGTCGTTAGCAGTTTCCCTGTCTGTCAACGTTAGCCTCAGACTCAGTGGGGCACGCAGTAGACGAAAGCGGACTAGTGCATATTAGTCATCCATCATCCAATGTTGCTCCCAACCTTAAACTCGCCGTGATGCAAGCCTCAACGCCTCAGGAGCGCTGGGTTCAACCAAGAACATTCAGAAACAGGGACGAGGCCAAGATACGAGATTGAACTCAATTCCGCCCTATACTATACCAACACCACAGCAAACGGCTCGCGAATAGCTTCCTCTCAATCGTTAAATTACCAGTCACTCGTTTGGTAGACGAACTGCTTAATTCCTTCACGATGCGTCTCTCGACGGCAGCTCTCCTCGCTTTGTCGCTACCCTTTTCACTCGCGATACCAATTGTAACGGCTCCTACCACGAACGCAGCTGGGACCGCCTTCACAGTTAGCATCACAGATTCTGGGGCTGCTCCGCTACTCACGAGTCTTGCGGGTTATCAGTTACAGTTGTTTGCCGGTAATGATGCGACCAGAGCTGTTGTATGGACTGATCCAGTACCCGGGACCTTCCCAGCTGGAACGACCAAAACTGTTACCATCCCAGCTGCCATCGGTGGAATTGCACCAAATGCATAGTAATACTTCTTAGACACAAGTATATCGTTCAGTTACTGACATATCATAGCTTTTTCGGTGTGTTGGCGACGGCCACCTCTGGTGGAACTATCACAACCTTCTCGAACCGCTTCTCTATGTCAGGCATGACTGGAACGTTTCCCGCAAATGTGGTTACAGCTGGAATTACCTCGACTGCGGGTCCACCACCAGTCAACGCCATTGCGGCTGCTCCTCAGGACAACCAGCCAATTCGAGAGGGTGTCTCCTCCGATTTTGCAATTCCATATACCATGCAGACGGGAACTGTTAGATACGCGCCCATGCAACCAATCCCACCCACCAAAATTACTGCTACAAACACCAATCCTCTATGGCCAACCTCCGCTGTGCAATTCGCTGCTACTTTCATGCCAATCCCAACCATTGTTACCACCAAGACACAAGCAGCTACCTTCAGTGTGTCAAGTCACGCCAATCCCGTAAGTTCCACTATCGAAAAGAAGAAATCAAATGCTGAATACTTTTCTTCCCCAGGTCCCTGCATCTACACCCCCTGCAAACGACATGCAAAAGTTTTTGAACCGCTGGAAGGATTAAGGTTTGTGTATATACCAACGATAACGACGGCGGAAACGATGAAGTTAGATTTGTCCCCTTGATTTGGGCGTGGAGTACGGTGTTTGGGGTAACAAGGAATGTTATAATATGAGAATTTTTTATATTTAGGTATACCACAAAGACCAAAGATAAGCTTGTAATCGACATCATAACTCCTTCTTGAATATTTTTTTGGTCTCAAGTACTCGTACTTTAGCAGCTTTCAAGACAAGAAAGCTAAATCTGGAAACAAGAGATGAACGGGTAGGGTTGGCGGAATGACGAAAAGGCGTTCTCGGGTACTGTACTTACTGGTATCTCTCGAAAGTCTAATACAGTAAGTTCAAAGTTGAGGTTTCTCCCGTTCTTGAAACAGGCATTCCCTGGGCATCCTGGCTTCCTCACCAATCCAAGCAAGTTGCTGGAATATAAAAGGGATCAGCGACACGAAATAAGTATCTTCAGTGGGAATCATGGGAATGAATGGAGGGTATGGGTTTCTAGCCTGGTTTTTAGTGACTTTTTACGAGGACTTGGGGATTTAAGGGGTTGGTTGGTTGATTTGTATTTATAGGGAGGGGGGTTGAGAAGGGAGGGTGTGGGTGGTTCGATGTGTAGAGGTAGAAGGATAGGAGGGGTGAGGTGTAGATTGCGTGGTTTATGATGTTTCTGTGGTGTTTGGTGGGGCGTGGAGGGGGTGAGTGTGAGTATCAGTGGTTGAGAGTGAGTTTGAGGGTGATACGCGTAATTTATTAGATGTTCGTTTTTAGGAGTTAACGTTGTTATTAACCTAGCTTCAAATTCTCTTGAGCGAGCCTTACACTTTACTCTAATCTAGACAAGTGGTTTTTGACCCTTGGGTTGAGGTTAAGGTTGGGGTTTTGTTGCTTAAAGCCACAAATCTAGGGGTTGGTCACCTGGATGTTCTCTTTTTTTTTCTTGTCTTATGGTGGTCGAGTTGAGGTTGGATTCTGGAGTCTAGACTAGGCTAGAGAGAGAGGTCTTTTGGATGGGTGGTTAGGAGAGGTGTGTTATCTTGGTGGATTTGGGGATGAGGATGAGGGTGGCACCGTTGAAGACTGCGGATAATGGTTTTGTGGCGTGGGGGAAGGGGGAGGGGGAGGGGAGGTGAAGAGAGGTTGCTTGGGGTACTGGTGTAGGGGGTATTGATTACTGGTTTCACTATTCAGTGTTTAGTGTTTAGGGGTATTTGGCTTGGATCTTGGTGTTTGATAACTTCTTTGTTATATTAGATGGGGGACGTGCTGGAAGTCCTCGCTTGAGTATGAATAAAATGTTTACTCTTAGCTAACTCTTAGGGATTAGTATGATATATGTCGCGGCGCGGTATCCACTTTAAGAGATCTTGAACTGCGTATTATTGGGAATTAGCTGGTTGGGTTTAGTTATAGGTATGTAAGTATGAAGAGAAGGTTTTATGTAGAAGGTAAGCTTATATGAAAGGGCTTTGAAGAAGTTGGTTTCGAAGCATAAGAAGCATGTTGGTTTTTGAATAGAACGATTTCCTGGCATTTTCAACCTGTTATACTCGTGTGCTTGTGTCGTTGAGATGTGGATACTAGACACCTGGGGTGTTGATGAGGCATAACAATTTGTAAACGATAGGTGAAGTTTTCTTGACGACTCTCATGGGTTTGTTAAATTGCCTTAACTTATGTTTCTCCTGACATGATGACGGTGGGAGGAAGGCGGTGGTGAGGATTGGGAATGCAAATTAGCTACTTACGTTTTTGGCTCCCTGGGTCAGGTGATGTGTAGAGTAATGTTTATATACGTGAATGAGGATACTAAAAATTAACACACTCTTATAACTTTCAGGAGCTCTCAAGTCTTATCTTACTTTCAGTTAAGACTACTAGGCGTAGAAGTACTATCATTATCATTATCAATTTATGATCGTAGTGAATAATAAGTTGTGACTGATATGAAAGTAGGATTAGTAAGACTGATGAGTTAGAGTCGCTGTTTTGTAGAGACAAAGTGTTTTTTGTGATATTTGTCTAAACAACTGTTTTGTCATCTCCATGTTCCATTCCATGTTCCATGGAGATGACAAAACATGGCACCTCTTTGATATCACATAAGAGTATAAAGCCCGGCTAGTCAGAAAAATCCATTCAAAATCCCGGTCACTACAAGAGTCAAGAGTCTATACTGCTTACTTTTTCAAATTTCAGAGATTTAAGCTTCCACACAATTCAATCTCCCAAGAATCGTACCAAACGCTTCGTCATCTCAAACACAAAAGGCTCCAAGAAAATGAAATATAAACAATCAACAAGGTACTACACAATACGTCCCTCAACACTTCTGCCACTGAACCCCAACAACAAAAGTAATCTTCCCATCAATAGAATCATCCGTAATCTGCCCGCGTCCAGCCGCAGTGCTAGAAGTCAAGCGAACCTGCGAATTGATGTTCAGAGCCGCACTCAATCCGCAAGGAGACCAAATGGTGGATGTGACATCCACATTATCCACCGCCTCGTAGTTCCCATCGATAGGGCCCCGGAATGAGGTCTGTGTTGTGGCTTGTGATGATTCTAATTTTGTTAGTGTACTGAAAGAGATGGGGGACGTTTGAGAGGGAGCTTACGTCCAGAAAAATAAAAGTTGGCGGATTGAACACCGCTAACTCCTGCGTCGAGACCGACGTATCCCCTGTATACCGTGCTCAAGATGCTATATTGGAAGCCACCAGGGTACTTCATGTCGATATTGAGCTGGCAGTTCTTTCTGTTCTGGGCGATTGCTACGCCTGGGCCAATGGAAGCTACGTATTGGTCGAAGATCAGGGTAAAGCTATGTCATCAGTTAGTATGGGTGAGCTATTAGAGGAAAAGGGAAATGCCCACGTTTGACGATCGGGTGAGATATATGAGCCTAGTGAGCCTTGCGGACAACCTGTTCCCCCGTAGACGATGTTGTTGATAGATACCTGGCTTGGGTCGGGCCTGTCTGCTGCTGCGGTATTAACCGCTGGCATGGTATATGCGGCTGTAGCGAGGGCCAATGTTAGTAGTGAGGATAGCATCTTGATATGAATAGCTGGAAGTTGGAATAGGTCACTTGAAGTAGTCAATCAAATTGGGTACTTGGAGAAGATCCCTGCCGGATTTGGATTGTTTTTGAGAAGAATTTTGTGGGATTTTGGGAAGCTATATACTGTTGTGAAGATTGCTAGTCAATTTTTGAGTGAGGTGATACTTGTTGATTTAGGGGGGAGGAAGCTAGGAATCGATGCTGCGGCACTAGGCAACAGCAAAGTACCGATGTCGACCCTTGTATGGAATATGATACGAGGATGGCGCTATGTATTGGAAATTATGATATTGTCAGTAATGCTTCAGACCCGACATGGTGCACCAATTGGCGCCTTGATTTAGAAGAAAGCTTTGTAGCCACCAAAATAAGTAGCATGGGTCTCAGCACAAGGGTATATGTTTTCAACGTGGCTATATATTCTAGAATATTTGTGACCGAGTCATTGATTTCTGCCATGAGAGTGGTGAGCTGATACTCTGCAAAAGCGATATCTCTTCCAATTAAGTACCTACCTTGCATTTCTTCTTGGCATCGAAATATTTTAGTCAAAAACTCATTTATTTATCTAGGCTTCCCAAAAGTAAGAATGGGACCGGCCGAGACAAAGTACCATTCCAGACGTCCAAAGGATATGAGGCTTCATGTAAGAAAAAGTTAGTGTTACTCAACCCTGAAATCTAAGAGGTGAAAATATGGCCGCCTTGCGGTTAATAATACCGTGCATCAGATATTATATGCTTAATATCTGCAGTCTCCGAAATAGACTTAAAAGTCGTTTAAGTAGATTAGATAGGCTGAATGAAGATGCATGCGCTTGGCAGAATAGCCGAGCCGTAACCATTACCAAAAAAACAACAGAGTTTTCAAGGCTTCTGATTGGGTACTCGCTTTTTGGAAAAGTTTTTTCAATTGGAAATACAACGTCAAAGTCGTTGATTCGCCAGCCATCAATGTAGTCACCTAAATATGCCAAACTCTTCAGGTCAATGCTCCGAGCAATGATTTGACCAAGGAGCTGATTCACGGCGCAGTCCCCGAGTAAAGAAACACACGGTCCAAAAGCTCTTCCGGAAGTACACGCTTGCCGTCTCCAGCTTGCTTGTAGATGCAGAGAGGACCTTGACCATCCCAACGCACCTCCAGCTGCTGATCTTGCGAATTCCTAGCAACTTGAATGATGCGCTGGATAAGACCATGGTACCGTGCCAACAGAGCGGAGTTCTCCATTTTCCAACCGAGAATCTTGGTCCTAATATCCTCGATCTGAGGGTTGGAAAAAACCCCCGATTTATGGTAGGCGAGGAGGAATTTTGACGTTTGGTTGACCCAGAGACGTGGATATATCTCGTTCATATCCAGGACGTTGCGGATGTTTCGAGTTTTGATGTCGAAGATTTGGTTCTGGAGAACTGGTGTGCCTACAATTTCTACATGAAGGGTAGTGTCTGCAGAGCCTTTTGGCTTGTCCATAGACATGATCCGAAGTCCAGCCTCCATTTCTTTCGGAGACGAGGCAATGCCGGATTCGCTGATTTCTGCGGGAAATTTGGCATCAGACTCTCCCTTTACATCAGGTTTATCCTCGGTACCTGGTTCCTCCTTGATACCTGGTTCCTCCTTGATATGAAGGCCATTTTCGATGCAAGTGTCATTCCTGACATATCCATCCGTTTCTGTTCTGACAAGAAATTGAACCCCCCCGAAAGAATATTGTATAAGACGTTGGTGAGAACATGACTTCTCAACTTCCTTGTCCCATGTAGTATACGCTTCGGGAAAAGTATGACCATAGCCTCTCAGATCAGTGATCATCTCTCTTGCCGTTTTCCCCTTTCGTATGAAGAATACCGTTTCTCCCACAACGTCCACATGGAAGCGGAACGGCTTACTGTAGATGGATCCGGAATATCTCAGGAGATTCCCCAGTGTACTGCCACAGCCAACTACGTCTAATGCTTGCATATCAAATTCTGGTTGCATGGCAAAGACAGAGCGGATGGCGGGCTCTTAAGGATAACTTGGGTACCGAGCGGCATTGATATCTCGAAAGACGTCGTCATGATCGGGTTCCAGCTTTGAATCTTCTGCGGGAGGTGGCCAGGCTGGAGGAGACCCTGAATATGATCAGTTGGAGAGTTATCGAGCACGCGAGTGGATAAGTTTATACTAACCTGGAACATATATGGTGGGAGAATCGCCAGTTTCCCAGTTGTAGGAAGCGACATATTTCACATCTTTGATGATGGGGGATGTGGTTTCCGTGAGTAGATTTTGGAGGTCGATTTTGTCGACGGCAGGTTCATGAGGTTTTGGCCAATCACTCCCAGGCTTGGACATCCAGGGTACATTTGCGGTGTTATTGTATGATGGGTTTGAGACTCTCCACGATTGCGACGACATCTTGCTTCTCGACATGATGAAATCTCAGTTTTCACAGGCCGATCGAAAGGGAGGAAGAATAGACTGTTCATATGGAATACGCTTTCTTTCATCTAACATTCCCCTCCCCAGAGTGCAGCATAGAAAACACAGTGATCCAATCAATTTCAAGGCCTGATATGCGGTCCTGCAGTTGGCAAACGATTCCATTGGTTACCTGCAAAAGAGTGAATTTAAAGAGCGCGTCGCAGAAAAAGAAAAAGAAAAACCTTCTTGATTTTGAGAATCCATTATGACAAAATACTGAAGAATCAAGTTCACAGATAAGGGACTGCTTTCCAAATCCACAAGTTGTGTTGTGTTTGCAACCTTGACTTCAATTACAGAACGCAGGACCTCGCTTTGGCTGGTCTCTACTATATTGGGAAACTGCCTCCCTGTAGACAAGAAAAGTGGCATAGATTCATTTTTTTACTATTAGCGTAGATTAATTATAAGTACCAAAATGTTTCAAATGTCTAGGACAATTGTATTGTACTATCGTTCTAGATAAATCAATTTTAATTACTCCAAACAAATAAGATAATATAATGTCTTTTAGTTAAGTTAGGATAAGATAAAAGAGGTCCCTGCCACTTTTCTTGCCCACTGGGGTCTACCTACCTAATAACCTTGCAAAGTTCGACGATGCTTAGCCTTGCAGCACAAACGAAAATTCGCTCGAATCAAAATAAATTATTAAACTGGTCATAAAAAGGCGAACAAAATCAACGAGGGGTAAATTGTACATAACTTCACTGCTCTTTCCAACTTCCAAGTGGTGAAGAATGAATTCAAAAGCATCCTGATCCAATGTCTTGTCAAGTCTGCTTCAGACCCAAGCACGTTTCGAAACTTTCGAAACCACTAGGTCACCAACAACCATCCCTCAAGAGACGTTCAGTTCGTTGAAGACTACTATCTATCATTCCCATTCTTGAAACACATGACTTTTAGTTCACGTGATCTTGACTTTTCTGACTGAGACAACGGTGATAACGAAGAAAAACTGAAATCCTCTAGCGTAACACTACGTGAAGAATTCTTGAGACAAATTTCCAACCTTCAATTCCATCGCAGTTATGGACGGGTTACACAGAATTCCGTCCCACACTCCCGAGATTCAGCCACTAGCTTGGGGTGGTGAGCTATTTCAACGTTAATTATCCCACAGCTATATCCAAGCAACTCAACCGCCCTCCAAGCACCTCACCGAAATGCAAAGCTTCAAGACCAACGACAATATCACCTTGAAGTACATAGACACGGGGATATCCGACAACCTTTCGGATCTGAATAAGCCTTGGCTAGTCTTAGTACGTTCTCATGTCTCTTCAGCTACTTTGATATGTTATGCATATCGCAGAGAACTGTACCGGCGTTGTACTTCCTTCAACGGCCGTCTCATGTTCAACCGAGTGGTTTTTAGAGGGCACGTTGTACCACAGATCTGCGTCTGCCCGCGATACATCAAGGCTACCTTCAAGCTCCCCAACTCATGGAACACGAAGTCTCATTTGAGATGACTTCCCGCTTGATCGTGTCACTACATATCCGTTTCTTGTTATATGCCTCAAACTCGGAGGATCATCCTCACCTTTGTATCCCCTTGAGTTTGTGTACATTTTGATCTCACAATTTCCATTTCAACACAAGACAATTCTGGTGGAATAATTGAGATTTTATGCTCACATAAAGATGAAAAACTATAGATTCATGGTTTCACAGGCTCCTCAGCCATCTGGCAACGCAATATTCCCGCTCTGGCCAAGGATCACCGGGTCATTGCACCAGACCTACGTGGTCACGGCGAGAGCGAAAAATGTAAACACGGATATCACGTTATGAGACTAGCCATGGACCTAAGAGAACTCATGCTCTCACTACAACCAAGTACTGATCCAGAAAGCAATACAAGCTGGAAGGCAATCGGAGGAAGTCTTGGGTGTTCAATCTTATGGTTCACCACCCCTTCCACAAATCCTTGAGAATGCACTGACACAGGACTAGGGCATATGCCTCACTATTTACAACGTCACCTTTCACACATATGATATTTGTGGACCAGGCACCGCTTCAAAATAGTGACCCTGCAACAGGGTGGGATCACCGGTACTGCAACAGGGGTATGAACAACCCACTTGCTCTAGCCGGACTTCAAACCACGCTCGCCATTGCCCCAGAAATCGCGCACAAGGGAACTATTTCCGCTTGTCTCGCCTATCGAGCCTTTCCGCTTGCTACAGACAATATCACAGAGGAGACGAGGGCCGCAGATGAGACATTCTTTCTAGAGGAAGCAATGAAAGGTGATGCAGATTGGTATGGAAAACTGATGGCTGATCATACTGCTCTTGACTGGAGAGACTCGATTCGTCGATGTTTTGGAAAGGATAGCAGAAGTACTACCAAAGTATTGGTGCTGGCTAGTACGAGGAGCGGATGTTTTCCTGCTGAAGGGCCGTTAAAATTCGTGGAATTGGTTAATGATAAGACCAAGGCCATTGGACGTGTCGTGGAATGGGGAGGTCACTGGATGTACTGGGAAGATCCAGAAAAGTTTAATATTCTCTGTTCAATTTTCTTGAAATGAAGCGAATGCCGAGAAGAATAGAATAATTATTATTTCATGTCGGTCTATAGGTTTAACATATGGTACACGTATACTATACATAGGCACGGCATATACCGCTCAAATATTGCCTGCCCCTTTTGTGAAAAAAGGAGGAGGATATCCTCATGTACTTGGGTATCCCGTAAATCCCGTCTAAAAACCTGTGTGACGGTTCTGTATAGCGCGGTACCTTGCCGGCTCATATATACAAAGTAGAAAAGCGCTCGAGAAGCGGCGTCGACGTGGCTGAGAAGAGTGAGTAGAATCTGTAGCATGTGCCTTACAGATCAATGTAATACCTTCGGTTGAACATGGGCCATCAAACTTGATGCGCCGTTCAGCTTCTATTTTGATTGGACTCATCAGTCCAATCTATCCCATCTAATAAAGCTTCCATATCCACCGAGGACGAGCCGAAACCATCGAATTGTTCAACGTTACCAGTACCCGTGTCCCAGCCGTTGATATTATGACTCCATGATGGCTCAGTCTGCTGGGGTACTCCTTCAGCTTGACGAAGAGGAAACTGCATCGAGCTATTGGCAGCGGGCTCCGAGGACTGTAAAGGAGCATTGGAACAAGAAGGATTCCCCGGAGTTTCACCGTACGGACACGTTTTGTGGGCGATATCTGGAGGTTGCATCGTCGGTGTGAACTGCGGGTTGTGGACTGGCGTGGTTTGAATTTTGGAGGCGGAATGGACGTCCCCAGAACGCACATGTTCTGGATGGGTATTCGCTTGCAAAGTGGTTTCTACAGCGATCAATGATTCTACTTGAGGGGTACTATTAATCGAAGGGTTCTCCGTGTTTACCGGACTCGCTTTTACAAAAGCCCTCAGGTCATTGACAGTCATTGGCTGTCCATTACGTGAGGCAAGCATTCCCATCATGGGTATGTTTGGAACGGTATGCTCAGCCATGCCAAGAGGAGTCTTGGATGTATTGCCATTTTCGATGCCGCTTGCTTCGATATCGAGCTCCAATTGAGCAGTGAAATGCTTGGTGATGTTGTGCCGCCTCCCTATTGCATTCATTGCCGAGAGGATAAAGTAAAGGTCTGATGAACTTTGAGGATTCGGTTCTTTGCTTGTCACATCGGAAAGGCAAACGCCTGCGGCGACGTATAAACAAAAGCCCATCCAGCTATGTATCTGGGCATGTTAGGATTTGGCAGACCAGGATGGAGAAGGAACTCACAAGTGAAGCATCTATGTGACTGATAAGGCGCATTATATTGGCAATTTCTTGTGCAGCAGTGAGACTTCTTCCTCTGCTCTGGCGAATAATCCTGGAATCAAGGTTATGGCGCTGCGCTGTGAGGATAGCAGCCTGATGAAGGCAAACAATGGATGCATGAATACTGTAACAAATTAGCATATACGTTTTTCGTTGATGAGAGAACGTGGGATCTGGGGTAGCAGATTTCCTCGGCCACTTCAGATGGGATTTTAACGAGATCGTGGTTTATTTACTTCATGTGGAGGAAGACGACGTTCATGTCCTGCCGGCCTTTAGGCATCCGCAAGTCTTCAGGAAGAAACATAAAAGTATTGGACAGTACGTTGTCCATTTTCCGGTGTCTCTTCCAAAATTCGCCTTCCGCGAGGTCTTCGGGTCGTTCATTTTTGCCTTTCTGATGCAAATGTTGAAAATTGTGACCGAAAAGGGCAGCTGACAAAATCACTCCACCGAATGGGGATATCGTCGGAGCACCTCGAGGAGTCAAAGCTTCTGCTAGAGAGACTGAGATTTGCGGAATGCCCAGTTCGAATGACTCCTCCGAACAAGGAAGGTTGGTGTGTATCTTGAGAATGTGAGTATGATGATCGCGAATGGATAATTGACCAACCTCTTTCTCGTCAAATATCATCGGCCAACCAGTCCCCGAGCTTGCCCAGCGATCTCCATAGAAGGCTGCCCAAAATGTCCTTCGGCGTTCCTCAGACTCGATAAAATCACGGGGCGGTGGGAGAATTTGTTGGGCATTTGATGCATCACCATCTAAACGGTGCAAGCCTAACATGTGAACCATTCTTGCCATTCGTCCTGTGCTCATCCAGGAACGAGAAAAGTAAGTCTTCTTGGCTTCGTAGTGTGCTATCAGACCCCAGGTTTGGGCGTGATATAAGCTAACAAACGTCTCTCCATGACCCTAATTGGGGTAAGCAGAGATTTTTCACAATACGCCATCATCACTCACCTTCATTTCGGCAGCTTCTATATATTTTCTAGCTCGCTTGTAGAATACATCCTCATAGATTGAGTATTCATCTGTCAAACTAGCAGCTGTTGCCCAAATAGTATAGCGTAAACAGATTGGTGGGCGTGTACTGGGAGCCCTATCAAGTGAGGTGAGGTACCGATACTTGTGCATCATTGGAATACTCGGGTGATGCTTCTCAAAGTATATTTTATGACTGCATAAATTGTGTTAGTGGAAGGAAAGACAAGGTACCAACCGACCAGGTAAGCTTTGCGCTGGCTGGCAGGACACTTGAGGGACTACCCTAGGTGCATGATCCAACTTTGATCAGTTATCACCTAAACGCAGGCTGCATACGTTTCACCTCGGTGTTGACTTATATAAATGTAACCAAAGCACGAGAGATAACCTGAGGCATTTCATAGACTGAGGTGGGTGCTTCAAACATACAGTTCATCTATCACATATGCTGGAGGCAAAGGTTCATCTAAACCCAAACTTATAAGTTCTTGAGACGGAGGCTCCTCAACGAAAATGGTCTGGGGGCTAGGTTGTAGTCCAAAGCCGAATTGATTTGTATCAAATATTGAATCGGGTACGGTATCTCCTATGTCAAAATCTAGATCTTTGGCTATGGCATCCCAATCGGCTCCAACAACTGGCGCAGAATCAACGGGAAATTTCTGTTGCTGTGCGTTGACCTCAGCGACCAGCCTGGTCTCTACTTGTGCTGATATATTTGTAAACGTATGACTCTACTTATGAGCCCTGCTGTATTTCTTACCGAGTCTAGCCTCAAGCTCCTTCATGTTTCGTCTTTTGGCGCCTAGATTCCGTCTGCGCTCGGGATATTCGCAGTCGTGCCCCAGTCGTGTACATGTTGCACATTGTGGTTTGCTTCGATCACAACGAAGCTTCCTTTTTCGACATGATACACAGGCTATTGTTTTCTCTAGAGGCTTAGCTCCTGGGCCCAGGCCTCCTGGTAAAGACTCGGAATCGATGGCAGCAGACGGTTCCATGACCACATCGCTTGGGGAATTTGAGGAGGTATTTGAGTTCGACATCGCAAATGCGCCTATAGCATTCGAATAGCTACGGCATAGAGCGTTTTTGGGTATCAAACAAGGGAAGATTGGAGGAGAGAGAATTCAACATTGAAGCCGGGAAAGCGTAGTATTACTCGGCAACGCGTGCCGTCGTGAGAGCTGAATTGTACTGAGAGAATTGCTTGCTGGAGCCGGGGCTTGGTTATGGTTGTGGTTGTGGTTGTCAGCTTATGCTGCAGCCACCCGAATCCTACATTTCTCAGCCTCGCAGCCTTACAGCTGTCCAAAAAAGGGAATGCGCGGGCACTTGCTCTTTTGAGTTTGGCCAATCAAAAGGTCACATCATGCAGGGGCACCTGCAAGGCTGCGTACGAGCCAATGTCTGTCACTTCCGCATGGACAGCCCGGGCATTCATTGCATTCCATCGGCATCACACTCCCACACCTTACACCATACATATTACACAACGTCCACCGGATATTTGCAGACCAATGCCTCTTATTTTCATCTTCCCGGACGAATCTTGCTTGAAACTATTTCCCCGAAAACAACCGACTTGACCTTCTCCCGTTGTATGCACTACACTCCACCAGGACCGCCTACCGCGCTTCATTCAACATGACAACATCTTCACGCTTAATAGTCGATTACAGACCAAATCACAATATTTTCCTATGGTGTGGCCGTCCTATGCCTACAGGGGATACATTACCACATTTTCGTCGGGTCCAGCCCGGAGAGCTTCGATGCCAGTCGTCACAAAATTATTGTAGCCAAGCTTGGACTAGCTTCGTTGGGTTCTGATCGAATATAAATTTACATCCCGAGACATGTATTCTCGCCAACGCAATACAGGAGTTTGGTCTGTTGCTGCAACTCTAGATTTCGTATGAGCACATGTTCTAGAAGCGATGGACTGGCTCCGGCAACCGCTGAAAGATCGACACGTTGGTGGAACCGAGCCTTTTGAGGGGATCTCTACCACTGTCATATGCAGAATTCCTTTATTATTTGTATCACCAGAAGCCTGGCTGCTTGGACTTACCGAGAACCTTACCGAGAGGATTTCGTTCACGAGCAATGTTTTTGTAACCCTACCACCTTCAATTTAAACTAGAAAATGGGGTCCCAGAGAGTCCCTTCCTTCCGCAACAGAAAGAGTACGATGACTTTTCTGATTCACGGCCCGAGTGGCAGAGTACATTGGCCTTTCATCTTCTGGTGGGCCAATGCTGTCACTTCTCCCAGACATTGGTAACGGTGGGTAAAGTTCATCGCTTGTCCCTCCATACCTGAGGTATATGTACTCCTTCATTCGAATTTTGAGGTACGCTTAATTTTGTTTCGAATAATTTCACATTTTGTTGCAATATCTCTGTTCCGCCCCCTTGCTTCCAGCGAAGACTAAAGGGACAACTAACCCCTCTCCCGTATTGGGTTATGTGGTCGAATAGAGAGACCCTCTGTGAGGATGGCCATCCAATTCCGACAGATTCCGCCAAGCGAGGGCCTTGGTCTTTCCTTCAACGAGTCAAACATCACCATACGTCTTGTTCCCACCAGCATAAAAACCGCCCAAAAGATGATTCTAGCGAAAGTACATTAAGCGATTGTTCTGGGAAGCATTGCTGTAATGGCAAGGATCCTTGCGGATTTGTTTTACCAAATCCTTCTACAGAATACTCCAGTAGCCTGGATACCATCAGCACAGCTCAAGCACCCACTACCGCCAGCTTCGACAACCACGAGTTTCGACTCCTCCATATAACTTTAAAAGTGGGGTTCAGGGTCTGCTGTGCAGGGTGTGGGCCTCTGAACAAACTTCCTGGTCTTTTGAAAACTTTCCAAGAGGTCTCAAGTGTGCAGATTCATCACAAATCTTCACAAGTGGAATTCTATCTCAAGGAGTCGTCGGTGCTCAATGAGAAAAACTTGGTTGAGGTTCTTGGTCGGAGGGCTCCTCAGTGCACATTTGAGAAAATAGCATTTGGACCTGGCTTTGAACTGATAGTTGATGGGGATGCCTCTGGGTATACAACAGGATATCCAAACGGCGTGACAGGTGTTGTTAAGATTGGGAAGAACAGTATTCTTGTAAATTATGAACCGACGGTTATTGGCGCAAGAACGGTCCTCTCACACCCCTTTTTTCGCAATCCCATTCTTGCCCCACGATCGCCACCCCTTCAGATATCGAAGGAAAAATCAAAATTGCGCAAGTTGGTACTAGTTTCCGTTCTCTCGGCCGTTTTTACGACGCCTGTTCTTGTTCTGGCCTACACAGGAGAACACATCTACAATGAAGTACGAAGGGGAGCGATTGAATTGGCCTTGGCAACAGTCGTTCAATTTGGTATTGGGGGTTTCTTTTACAAAACGGCCTACAAAGATTTTCGTTCCACTGGTAAACCAGGAATGGATATGCTTGTTGTTCTCTCAACGACTACCGCGTACATATGTTCGGTTTCTGCCTATATATCTTTGGCCTTGGCCCATCCATTCTATCTGAAGCCATTTTTCGAGGTCAGCACACTGCTAGTGACTCTCATCATGGCTGGAAAAGCCATTAGTGCATTTGCTCATCAGAAAGCCCTGGATTCGATATCCATGGAATCACTCCAACCCTCGCTGGCGAACCTAACTACCGGTCCCGAACCCAGCAACGAAGTTCTGCCGATAGATGTGCGCCTGCTGGAATACAACGACGTATTTGTCATTCGCCCGAATGAAACCATAATTACTGACGGCTGCGTCATTTCTGGCGAATCAGAAATTGACGAATCAATGGTCACAGGAGAATCAGCTTTGGTTCATAAAACAGAAAATTCAAAGGTCATCGCAGGCTCGGTTAACCATTCGGGGATATTGAAGGTTCGCGTTTCTCGCTTGGTCCATGAGAATACCATCAAAACCATTGGCGATATGGTAGATGAAGCGAAATCGTCGAAATCCAAAATTCAGGATACTGCCGATCTTGTTGCTAGGCATTTTGTCCCCGTGATTTTTACCATCACCTTGGCTGTTTTCACTATCTGGTCTATTGTTGGTGTCTTGGTGCACAAAAAGAGTCCAGCAGATGCATGCTTCATCGCGGCTTCTTATGCTATTTCAACACTGGTTGTTTCTTGTCCATGTGCTATTGGCCTTGCAGTTCCCATGGTAAGTCAGTCATAATTGCACCTTAATTTAAATAAAATCTTTATGTATATATATACACATGTGAATCTAATGCTTTTAGGTTGTCGCCATCGCAGGAGGCGTAGGCGCGAAACACAGTTTAATTTTGAAAACATCTCAGACTATGGAGATTGCCCGAAAGACCACGCATGTTATATTTGATAAAACTGGAACTCTGACAGAAGAAAAGGTCTCTGTGGTCTTCGAAGATTATTCAAAAGACAAGTCTGAACATATCGCATCTATCATACATGCGACCTCTGCAGTCAGCGTTCATCCTACAAGTAGCGCCATGGTCGCACATTTCAACGAAGGCAAGGTCGATTGTGCACCACTGGAAGCGGCAACCTTCATTCCAGGAAAGGGCGTGGAAGCTAAACTGGATGGGGAAGTAGTTCGAGTTGGAAACCCATACTGGCTAGGTGTTGAAGCTTCTCCCGCTGTGTTAGAGGCATTGCGCCGCAATTTGTCAATATGCTGTATTAGTAAAAATGATCAGCTCCTGGCAACATTCGGACTCCAAGGCCGACTTCGCAAAGATGCGCTACAAACAATCAAAGAGTTGCAACGACGTTCTATTTCTGTCTCAATCATCAGCGGTGACAACGAGCCAGCTGTCCAAGCGCTAGCTTTACAAGCTGGTATTCCATCGCAAAATACACATTCTCTGTGTAACCCCAGCGGAAAACGAGACTACATCTCCGAGCTTCAAAAAGACAAAAGCAACGTAGTGTTATTTTGCGGCGACGGCACAAACGACGCCATAGCATTAGCTCAAGCCAACATAGGAGTTCACATGAGCGGGGGCACGGAAGTAGCGCAAGATGCCGCAGATGTCGTTCTGATGCGGCCTTCTCTGGCTAGCATCATTAGCCTGATCGATCTCTCCAAAGCCTTCCATAGACGTGTACTCTTCAACTTCATTTGGTGTTTCGTCTATAATATCTTCGCGGTCATGTTGGCGGCGGGTGCTTTCCTTGTTTTTAGGATACCACCCCAGTATGCTGGGCTAGGGGAGGCTGTCAGTGTTTTGCCTGTTATTTTTGTTGCGGTTTCGTTGCGGTGGGCGGAGTTTTAGTTTTGTTGCATCTTACTTTTCTTTATGCGTTGGATCTTTTCTTAGATATTTCTGTTGATAGTTGATTGATGGAGGAGACTGTGGTTTATAGTTTTGAATTTTACTTTGAAGTGTTGGTTGTCTTTTTTTCACCCTAGACTTTTGATCTCTGTAGCGCCTTTGTTTCTGTGTAAACCCTTTTTTCTTTAACGTTAGGCAACTAGCATTCTCGGATTCTATTTAATTCTAGAGCCCTCCTCTGGAATTATTTTATTCCAGAAGCCTATAATCCATGGATTTCGTCACATGACCCGGAAATGGGTCCCAGGTCCTGTAGGCTAATAGTAGCCTATCTCAATAGCCTCTTTATATCGAGAGAGCAGGGAACGATTCCTTAGGAGTGCTAGTAATATATAGGCGTAGACTGTATATGTCCTAGATATAATACGTGAAGGTCCCTCTTTCTACTTCTGAATACGGCTATTCACTCGAACATATTATAAATAGGAATGGGTACTAAGTTATATTAATTATATATTCTTTTTAGTTTCTATAAGTTACTTTCTATACTTAACTATAATTATAGTAATGTCGGCTTTACTGTCCTTTGCTTCTTGTACTAAACTATACTATTTGAAATGGACTTTGAGATCTAAGATTATCCTGCCCCTTACCTATATCCTTTAGGTAATCCGTCGTGTTTTGAACCAGGGTGAGGAGAAAACTCTTTAATACGCTATTCATAATCAGTATCTTTATTAACCAGTTGCCGTACTGTGCTACGACGAGCACCTTCTCCTTCGTAATAATAGATATTAAGATTAAAGTCGCGAGTACTATTGACTTTCTATACTAGGCGGACCCAAAGCCCTTCTTTAGCTCGCATTTATTAAGAGGGCAATGTAGTATACCATACTATTTGGTAGCCTAATAAGGACTATTGGTTACCGGGAGTATATGTTATACTCTATAAGGAGCGTCTTAGGCTAATTTGAAACAGGTATACAAAGTTCACGTAGCTAAATAGAACAGTTTTAAGAAGGATTCTTAGAAATAATACTTGTTTAAAAACTTAGCTAAAAGATAGATTCCATACGTTATTATTCTATTTAAATAGATAAAACAATATTCTTAAATAGCTGATAAAGATGTTTCTTTTTAGTGTTTCTCTAGAAGGTATAATCTTAATATTATTGTCTTGTCTTCCAGATTAGATAATTAAACATTCCTTTTTGAGAATTATAGTATTTAAGTGTTAAGCTACTAATGCTTGTCAAGTTCTAAAACCTTAAACACATTAGAAATATAGATTAGAAAAGTAACTATAGGCTTATACTTCGCGTAATCCTTTTTAGTAAATATTATACATTGTATTCTTTCACAATACCCACATCCTAAGCTACTTGAATTCACTGACACAGCGTCAGCTTCACTTTTGTAGTTTCGGATAACCATGAACAGAACATCTTTTACCGTCGGAACATCTTTCGGAACATCTTTCACCGATCTAGTTTGTCAAAGACGCCGATATCGCCTTGCCAACAACTGCTTGACGACATCCTTGACTTGTCAACACCAGAACGACATCACAACATCGCGTCCGACACATCCACACCACACAACACCAAAGTCTTCTGGTCGCGCATGCTACAATGGCATCCGCCTCAAGCGACCAAACTACTGGCAGTTCTGGTGTTGCGCAGAGCGATCCACAAACTCCAGGTCATCGCATCCGGCCTCAACCACGGAAACCAAAAGTGAAGCTCGTACTCCATTATGAGCAAAGATGTCCAACAATTCCCTCAAAGCTTGAACCTTGCACTAGACTTGAAATTCGCGAACTTGAAGCTGGAGCTCAGGAACAAGAACGAGTCTTCATATACTTCCCTAAGATTCCCATGGAACTTCAACTCGAAATTGTATGTGATCCATGATCTTGTCTACCATATCGTCAGATTGCTAATACAGAGGATCATACAGTGGAAACTTGCTTCATTCCTTGAACCGCCTCGCACATATATCCTCAATGCCATTGAACTTCCGCGCATAGAGTACAAGACAGTTTCCATCGGTATCTGCGGCTCGCAACTCAAATTTCACTCTCGGAACGAGATCTTCAAGCCACCAGCTTTGCTCCATGTCAATAAAGCAGCAAGAATGGTGGCGAAGAAGACCCTCACGATTCTGTTTCCTGTCAACAAGTTCCAGCAAACGCCTGTTTACTTCAACCCAAAGATCGATACAATTAGACTAAACTGGAGTGCCCACACACGGCGTCACCCCCTTGAGCAACTACCAGAACGCAGACGCAGAAAATACTTCGACATAGAGCTATCGAGCGAACTCTGTTCCGTTATACAATCAATGGACCTTGTTACCAACTTTTGTGGGTCTTCGCCTGGGAGTTCCGAAAAGTGGTGGTTCCGTCAATTTATGGCTCCACAAAATATGCTGACACTTATGATCGATCGGAAACAGCCCAAAGTCGCTCTATCTCGCACCTTCATGAGTTTGAAAAGCTTAAATATGATCATTCCTTCTGCAAGATTCGTCGGTCTGGAAGATGTCTTTAGAGAAGTTCAACGACCTGAAGGACGGAATGCTTTCTGGGGTGTATTGGAGTCAGCGGTGGAGCTCGGATTTGCTCTTGAGGGTGAAGATATACGAAGGCCAGATTTGAAAATCGGCGTGGAAACTAGGCTGGATGGCTGCAGGCGTACCGCAAGGATGTTTTCTTTTAACCGAGAATTTGCTCGTATTATACATCCAAATGGGCGCTTTCTTGAGATGCCTATAATGGACCTTCCTTATCACTAAAGAAGAGAATATTTATAATATTCATGCATGCTTCGTCCAGACCACGGATATAACAATACATTGATTTCTCCTTTGGCCCACATATATTGTGTGACTTTTCATCGCTTTGTAGTTTTGCCTGTGAACTTTAGTAAGATATCTCAGAGATAATACCAGCTTCACAATAACCTGATCATAGTAATACTGACTCCTTCCTTTCCCAATATCGTTCTTCGTTTATGAAAAGCTTGCTTTTGTTACCAATTGGAATCCAGAATCCTTAGGCGATAGTCATGTATACGGACTTATCTTACGGGGAACAAACAACCAAAGCTGTCAGGTTTCCCTTGGTTTCATTCCATCTTCTCTTGTTTCCAGGATAGAGAGATTATTGTAAAGAGGATGGTGAGGGATATACGGTACTGATACTCTACAAACCTGGTGATTGGTTTTATTCCTCCCATCCCCTAAACTATTATTCACCACATTCACCCCCTTCGCATTCATGTCCTTAAGTAACACACCTTACACCAAGTCGCCCGGTACATGCCTGCGTAGCTTGACGGTGATTGAGTGAGAGCTTTACTGGGACTAGTCAAATCGCAAAAACCTCAGTTCGTCTGGTTTATTGTCCGAGGCCGCCCTCTTTGAGGCCTGAGAAATTCAAATCTGAAGAAAAGGGTGACCCTGGAAAGATTTCTGGGAAGAAACCAAGTTTGGGCGCGGAAATTGGAACGACAGTTGATGGTCACGCATCATTACCGTTACCCGATCGAAAGGGCAAGGATATTTCAGACCCCAAATCATCATCTGTCGGTGTATCTCAAGTGCAGCAACCGTCCTTCCTCTCAAGCAAGATGATGCCAGAATTGAGAGACCTTGACTCACTTGTGGGAAACTTTGGTTCTAAAACCCAACCCTCTTCATCAAATCCTTCCTCAAATCGCGAAGGTAAGAATTGAGAGACCTTGACTCACTTGTGGGAAACTTTGGTTCTAAAACCCAACCCTCTTCATCAAATCCTTCCTCAAATCGCGAAGGTGAGGGTGAGGATTTTTTTAATTTTTTTTTTTGATCTTTTTGGGGTGTGTTTGGTTTTACTAGGACGCTGTTTTTTAGAAGGGGAGGGGGGAAGGGGGAGGGGAAGGCGGAGACGGGGATGTAGCGGTGGAGAGCGAGGGTGAGAGCGAGAGAGGTGGAGGTGTAAGAAATTTTGAGGTGGTAGTAAATATATAGCATTCACGTGATGTTAATTTATGAAGTCGAGATAACCTGTAATGGAAAAACATATAGGTACAATGAGGTAGAGCTTCTCTTTGGAGACAGTCGGACGTTCGGACATTAAAATTACCGTTGTTCTCCGATTGGTGATTGTCTCAATCGCCCCACATAATATATTCCTGAAACCCGTACCGTAAGCCATGCCGCGCTGACGACCAGCCTGATTTATGTCCGTGGATAAAGACATGCTGCAGCATTTTGAGCTTGTAATTATACGACAACATCCAGCTCTAGTCGAAGTCAATTTATAGTCCCTATCTCCGTGTCCGTTGGTTCTGCTGCTTCTCTCGGTCGACAATGTCGACCTCTCCGTCCGTCACAGCCGAGACCCCCACCTTGACTAGCAGTGGTGGCAAGGCTCCTGATGCGGTTGCAAAGCCACCTACAAAGCCAAGCAGGCAACGCTTTAAGGCTCAGTTGTCTTGTACCCTGTGTAGAACTCGCAAGTGAGTAGCGTTTTGTTATTCAGTTTGCCATCAAGGGTCGATTTTTCAGAGCTTGTTGGCAACCGTGAGTTACAATCCGAATCAACGGTTACGCTATCTCCGTGTCTAAATACCTACAGCAACAAACAACTCATCTTTTGCCTCCCAATACGCTATGAACTTGGACGCGAAATCGGGCTAACCATCCACAGACTCAAATGCGATCGGAACTCTCCCTGTCAAAATTGTATCAAGGTTCGATTTGGATTCTAGTCTTCCAATAACCAGGCTGCTGACCACTACCCATAGAGGGACTTATCATCCTCATGTACATTCATACATGCTGGACTTCGTCGTGAAAAAGCAGCAGCTTTACAGAAGTCCGGCAATGTCGGCCGCAAAGATGTTCGAAGCCAGATATCACATCTTGAGCAACTTGTTGTCTCGTTAATGAAAAAGAGTGGGGGTATTGATCAAAATAGACTTGGAATCTCACCCGGTCCTTCAAGTGATGGCCCTCGAGCTTCAGATTTCAGCTCGAGTACAGGGGATGACCAATGGACTGAGATCACTGGCTTGTCGAATACAACGGAATCTTTCGGAATGATAAATATTGATGATGATCAACCCAACTACGTCGGAAGCTCTCACTGGGCAGCAATCCTTGATAATGTAAGATCCACATGCCATATTCATACTCGCCTATATATACCACCTCTATAATGAGTTTGAACTGACTGTCCCCAAACAGATTGCCTGTCTTAGGGATTCAATCGAGAACACTGACCCCCCAAAACAAGACCGAGTGAAAAAGATGGAAACTTCGAAAATAACTGGACCAGAACTATTCAATGGCTCATTGAAGAGCGCAACAAGAACAGAAATTCTCTCAGCCCTGCCAGGCAGAAAGCAGGTCAATTTCCTTCTTGATAAATATTTCGGACATCCTGATATTACAAGTGAGTTTGGAATCATGAGCTGCCCTAGAATACAATACTTAACGCAAGCGATATAGGTCTCGTCCATGAACATAAGTTCCGCAATGATGTATGTAGTTCCGGTGTGTGGAAACTTTGAGACGCAATGTAATGCTAGATCTAGTGCGATAAATTTTGGAAAGACCCTTCCCAAACGCCGATAACATGGATTGGCATGTTGTTTGCAATTCTAAGTCAGTCTATGAAATTTGAATTAATGGCAGGCAGAAGTCCGTTCAACGGCAACGCGGACGAAATTGCAGCTCAAGACCCTGCTGAGATAATCGAAATGTATCGCCAGAAGACAGTACAATGCCTTTTTCTAGGCAAATACCTCGAACCTGGCCCCTACATAATCGAAACACTGTTATTGTACTATGTAAGTTAGATACGGATCTTCATCGAGAAACTGCAAACATGTCAGCTTATGTAGAATAGGTCTGTGAGCATTTTCGAACGCCAGATGCGCAGTTTGGTTCTTGGGCGCTGTTTGGCTTCATTATTCGGGCGGCTCTTCGTCTTGGTCTTCATCGAGATGCTTCCCATTATCCTAAAATATCTGTCTTTCAAGGTGAAATGAACCGCAGAATCTGGCATACTATCGTTCATCTTGATCTTCTGACATCCTGTTCAATGGTAAGCATTTCTGGAGACATGCACTTATCAACACAGTCTTTTTTCCTTTTTGAATCCTTGTTGATTTCTACGTTGTCAAGAATGACATTGCTAATACCGAAATTCCACAGGGCTTACCGAGAATGATTAGGGAGGGAATGCATGATGCACAATGTCCCCGGTAAGTAATTACGACCCCTGAAGATATGCATTGCATCATAATTCTTGAGCTAATAAGTTTCTGCAGCAATCTTGCAGACGGTCAGTGCTGACATCTTTGTTTGATGTTTTCTTGCAGAATATTGTGAAGAGAAGATATTGTCAAAGTTATATCGGTCCCTGAGGCTTCCATTGCTTCTATTCACCAAAAGAAGGAGCCATGATTTACTGATTTTGAGATTTTGTAGAGGACTTTAATGAGAATTCACAGGTTTTGCCTCGCTCGAGGCCTGCTGAAGAATTAACACCAATTGGTTGCTTTAACGCCAAACACCAGATTACAGAAGTTTTCGGCACGATACTCGATCAAGCAAACTCAACGAATCTAATTTCGTATGAAGAGGTGATGAGTTGTAAGCGAATTTTTCATGGTCACAATGATCGAGTTCATTCCCAAGATCAGTCCAAAACGATTGGTGCCTTTGTTTATTTCAAACTCTTAGAAGAATTTGGGAAGTTGTCTGTATGGGATCGTTTAGCAGCTTCCAGACGTTCTGCAATTCCTTTTCTCTTGTTTTGTTTTTATTAAAGTCCCGTCATTAAGCTTGACGTGACACTTCGTCATCTCAGCTCTTGACAGGCCAGGAAGCGTATGCTAATTTGTTACAGTGGACAAGTTGTTACATGCAACATATGAAATGACCCCCGAGTCATTAAGAACTGTTACTGTTGAAGATCTCAAATATGGATCACCGGACTTGAAGACACAGAAATTTGGAATCGGATTGGTGTTCCAGAAGTCAAAGTGCATTCTTCACCGAAAATTATTCATCTTGTCGAAAACAAGTCCTCCAACCTATCCTTATCCGTACTCGATGAAAACATGCATTGATGCTTCTATGAATATCTTAACATCCTGGATTTTCTTGAACAGGCAAGTTATCTCTGTTCCCCATCTGCTTTGTTCTAGAGACATCAAAACTCTACTTGATCCCAATAAGATCTGTCTTACATATAACCTGAAGCCGTCGACATACATCAGAAATAGCAGTGCTAATTCCAAAATCTCTCACAGGGAGATGCAACCTGGAAATGAACTTTATGATCATAAATGGAAGCTGAGCTCCTTGCTAGCTGCTGACTTTTTGCTTGCTGCAATGCTGCTTTGTCTTTACGTCAGCCACACTATGTTAAACCCTGATCTGGAGCGGTCTAATGCGCAGCTTGGGATAAGGATTGAAGCGAGTGAGTATTATTCGAATACCCCCTTTGGATCCTTCTGGCTTGACGCACAGTCTTTCCTACGTTAACGTTATTTAATCCTCGTAACTTGTGACTTTGTGTAAGCGGCGCTGATTCAGATATCTTGAACAGCACGGGAAGAAATGATCCAGGTCCTCAATGACTGTCACGATATATGGGAATCGACAAAGTCTACTTCAAAAGACGCGTACAAGGCAGCGTCTACCCTAAAGGCTTTATTGAGTAAAATGAGAGCAACACCTGCTTCTAACATTACCACGTCAGCTCAGAGATCACATGCTAGTTCAGACGCTTCTACGTTCGCATCATCTTCACGTAAGTCACCTTGTGCCCCGCATTTTTGAATCACTGACATGTGTTCCTTACAGAGAGCACGAAAGCGGCTGTTCCTTGGTTGAACAAGCAGGTTGTCCAACCAGCTACATACTCCTGGAATACTCCGCCATCTTTCGATCCTCCTAGCAATGAAACCTCTAACATTGCCGGCAATACGGTTCAGCCTTCGCTTGATTTTGGGGGCATGGATTTAGATTGGGTAAGGATATTCCACATGAATATATCATCTTTTTGCTATCCTTGTCGATACATAATCAGTGTTATCTCTTACTCACGCACCACATTTTAGGAACTGTGGGACAACCAGTTCTACAATAACGGCGGAAGTTCGCGGACTCCACCTGACCTCTGGAATTTTGACCCCAATAGCGCGGGAATACAGTTTCCAGATCCAAATGGCGCTGGATTCATGCAGTGGGGACAGCAAATGTGATATCGTGCTTTGAGGTTCATTCTTTGTTCCACGTTTTTTCTTAGGCGAGTCTTGGAAATTGTGTATGGGTTCGGGATAGCAACAATTGATGAAATCATGGTATATTGGGTTAAATAGGATACTCCACTTTGTTATAGATCTCTTCCTTCTTGGTCAATTACTCTCGTTAGGATCATCCTATTGATTTGGCCAATTCACGTCTCATAAACGGCACCATGCTTTATCACACAACTTCAAAGACGGTTCTAAAAACTTATTTCTAGTTAAGTACGGGTCGTTCTGCTATGCACATAAAGTGTTTACTTCTTCCAATTCCTCTTCTTGCATAAGTCCGTCTAGAAATCCAACCAAGCTACCTGTCTGATGCCGCGAGACGCCATACCATCCTTGAGCAAAAGCCACTCAGAAAACGACAGAGCTGCCGACACAATCGTGTGTAGAAGGGCTTACTTTTACACCTGTATTAGTGTCGTCCGATTCTATAGTATAGCCGTTGCACCCTAAGTCTGCAACCGTCACAAGATCGCAACGGTTGTAAAATATGTGTGTTTTCCTCCAAGGTATAAGAAAACCAGCGTGGTAAATTCGAGTAGTTGAGTTAAGTAGTAGCACCTAATCAACTCAACTCGAGTAGTGAAATTCGCTATTTAACTTAACTCGCCAAGTACTCGATTAACCTATAAGTAACTCGAGTAGAGTCGGCCCGATAGCCCGTAGCGCGCCCGGCCTCGCTCGCCGGCCTCCGGTCGGTCCTAGTAGGTCGGCCCACGTACGGGGACTTAGCCGAGTACCCCTCTATTAGGTATATACTATTTTCTTATATTATAGTTACGTTATCCCTCTAGGAACTCGTGTAACGAATACTCAAACTGGCTAACTAAACTTGGCTGGGTGTTCGCTGGTTGGTATGCTATGATAAGAAGAAGACTATCGGGTTGTTCACTTGGAAGTGAACTCGTTACTTGTATCAAAGATGTCAAACTAATATGATAAGATTGATAACTAAGTTACGAGTTCACTTCCAAGTGAACAACCCGATAGTCTTCTTCTTATCATAGCATACCAACCAGCGAGCACCCAGCCAAGTTTAGTTAGCCAGTTTGAGTATTCGTTACA